CAGGCCAGGGTGCTCACAGTGAGCCACCGCCCAGGACAGTGACCAGCTCACTCCAAGCTCAAGTCCTCTCCTCAGGAGGGTGAGGGACTAGGGGCCAAGCCCGGTACCAAAGACACAAGGGACCCAGAGATGTGCAAATCAAGAAGAGGTCTTGAAGCATTCTGAGTTCACCCAATCTCACTTTGTCCTAAAGGAAGCTAAATAACTATTTAAAGTCACTATTAAGCATCTATAGTGATTTGGTGAGGATAATTAGCTTCAGATTAAACTTTATATGCAGTGGACTTGGGAATAAAATGAACCAAAAAGCTCAGTGGAAAAGGTCAATCCAACGTGGCTGTCAAAGACCCAGGCTGCTCAAGTGCCCCAGACGGAGCAGGCTGGGTGGCTGCAGGGGACACGGCTTATGGCTCTGTCTAGACGCTCCTCTGTGTCTCCTATGGTGACCCAAGGGGACTGAGCTTCCTGATGGTGCCTCACCCAGCAGCAGGTGATGTCTTGTGGCGTCCAAGGAAGTTTCCTGTGGGGTTTGCATACTGTCCAGCTGGGGTTTTCACGATATTGGCAGCAAAGGTCCACAACCACCAGGTGGCGAAGGAACTCCCAGATGGGGCTGCTGTCTGGGACACAAAGGTAAGGACAAGCCCTGGACTGGAGTCCAGGTGGGCTCTCACCACAGCACTTGCTTTACACCACAGCTCCCATCCCCAGAGTACTCTGCTGACAATCACTGGGGTTAGCTGGAACCCTGCAGGATGTAGGCCCTCTGTCCATGCCATTCTGAGCCTTTCCAGCTGATATCCTTTGGCATGACCATTATTTCTGGATTTAACATGCAAACAACAAACCAGTGGATGCTATTTCCCTCTCCTCTCCCTTGAGGAAGAAGCAGATTTTCAATCTTAGGCAATGTCGTATGACCAGGAAGATGGGTTCCTTTGTAACTGCGAAAGGAATGAAGGTTTGCTCATCATGGAATTCAATTCTCCAGCTCACGGGTGTCTCCATCCCAGATCCCATGTCCTCCTCAGGAGGGTCGGGCAGCCTCGTCAGGGAGGGACTGGCCATCCTGAGGCAGACATGTCCCTTCTGGTCTTCACCTCCTCCAGCAGACTGGCCAACTCACAGTCTTCCTATGAAACTGTTTACCTGCCCAGTCACCTCTGCAGGGCTGCTGGTCCCTGATGCCCAGAGGCAGGAGTTCCTGGGTGCCAAGGACAGGACAGCACCCGCACGCAGCAGCTGTGTGCTCAGGCAGGGTGGGAGTGCGGTGAGCACCTCAGAAGCATTTCTAGTAACTAAAACAATTTCAGACAAAAGACTCAACTTTGACGATTCAACAGTCTACCGGGATTTATTTTCTCATTTTAAAGAAATACTGACTTTGGAACATATTTTGAGCTCATAACTTGGTTTTCTTTTTCTAAAGAGTCTTGGTCCTGTGGAACAGGTGTCACCAGCCCCCACTCCCACTGGGACTAGGGACACAGGACACCCACTAGCTGGTGCTCAGGCTGGTATGGACATTCATCCTCAAGCCCATGAGAGATCCATCCCTCTACCCAGACCGCCTCATCTCTAATTCTAAGTGATGTTCTAGAATAACAGTACAGATGTGTGTCCATTCCTGGCAGAGTCTGTCTCATGACAGGCATTGGGCATCCTGGCTCGACTAGAAGGTCATTTTCCTCTCAGAAGATTAGATTTTGGCATAGTTAGGCTACACCTGTGACAAAACAAGAAGGTTGGGAAAACTTTGAGTGTGTGTGCACTGCAGGCTCTTCTCTGATTGCCTGCTCTGATTCTCCACTCTGCACCTGATCACTGCCCAGGGATGCCAGGCTGAGCACAGAGCTCTCCAACTGGCAGTGATCATTCTACTTGAGAGGTCTTGTATTCAAGGTTGCTACCCGTTGCACACATAGAGGGCAAAGGGACCCAGACCGTCCTAGGCACGTCACAGAACTGCTCCAAAGACACCAGCCTACCAGTCAGAGGTCGGAGGCCTACACACTCACCCTTATGCCCTTATTTTCCTGTCATCTGACCACTGTGACAGATTAGCTTAAAATGTGTGGAGAGAAGGGGTGGAAGAGCTGGGTGCCCAGGTGGGTGACACGGGAGTCGCTGGTTGTGTTTATCTGTTGCTGAGTCGTCAGAAGACAACTTTAGCACTGACAGATATGTAGAAGCCAGGCTGAGAGCCGGCCCCCACCCCCTCCCCGCCCAGCGACAAGCCATCCAGGCCCTCTGATCTCCCACACTGACACTCCAAAAGGGGGCCTGCACCTGGGGAGGTTTTGTTCCAGAGCGGGACCCTTCTCAAGGATTTGAGAGAGGGGAGATACCTGTCGCAGCTAAGAGAAGTATTCTACGTTACATGCAATTTTGAGGGAAAACCAAAAAATTTATGTATTTGTTATGAAAACAAATTTCACAGGTAAGATTTGAATGGATTTATTTCTGTTACTGTGTATACCACAACAGCATATTTATAACCTCAAGAAGAATCTGACCAAATGCAGAGCGGCGGTCACAACAATAGACATGAGTAATTGCAACTGGACACAAAGCCCACATAACAATATAAATTTTCTAGGGGAAACACTAGCAACCTCACAACTAAGTCTAAAAGGACAAGGACGGCAAACAAAAAACAGCTTGTTACCAGACTAATGCTCCTTAATTACATGTCCTCCACCTGTCCCGTCTACAAAGCTTTCATCTATACAGAACGTGTCTTTTGAACTTGGAGCTGCTAATTCTTTTTCAATGAGTGTGGTGTGCTTAGCCTAATGACCATATAGCAGAAAGAGCCTAAGCAGGACTCTGAGATGAAAATGCACTCATGTGAGAATTCAGGGTGCTGTAGCGCTCATCAGCCACAGTGGGGTCACTGCCTCATCATCCTCAGGCTCAGCCCCAAAGCTGTAGAAGGCCCCGAGCGCAGTGGGTGAGTGCCAGACAGAACACCAGACACGGGAGCTCCAGTTCTCCATCTGTTCATTTATTTATTTTAAGAAGCACATATTGACAGCCGGCCATGCACCAGGATGGAGCAACGCTGGGGACGCAACCCCTCGGCAGCCTGGGATTTCTCTAAAGGAGCTCACAGTCTGGTGACATGGGGATGCAGTCATGGCTGACAGCTGCCTTGGGTCCCCAGAGTGCTGGAGGCAAATGTTCAGGAGAGGAGGTTGGAGGAGACTGCAGTGAGCCCAGGACCCGATGGGCCCTGAGCCTGGGAGTGAGCTGGGAAAGACCTGCTCTGCAGACAAGCCGGGGGAGGGTGGGCAGCAGGAGGAGAAGGATCCAGGGAGGCGGAGGCGGGAGGCGTGGACAAGCAGTGTGGGAGGGGGAGGGTGGGGGCAGATGGGTGGGGGTGCGGTTGGAGGAACTAGGCGGCTGGCTGCAAGGTGGGGTGAGGCCAGCCTGCTGGCTTCGTGATCTCTGTCACTGCCTGCACAGGTCCCTTCTACCTGTGGCACGGCCGTGCTCTGTGCTAAAGCTCAGCACCGTGTGAATGTGTGCAGGGACTGCAGCGCGCAGTGTACCAAGTAAACAGAAAAGATAAATGCCTGTGCTATTTCTACACTACTTTAGAGAGTAATTTTTCCTTATAAGACCTAGAATTTCTTTAAAATATTCAATTTTTGGTCAACCATCCCTAAAGTTTAATTAGGGCATAATCATTACACTTTAAAAAAAAAACCTAAATATTTTCTTTCATAAGATATATTGTACATTATTCTAAGAATGGACAGGATTCACGAAGTGGCGAAGAGATATCCCACAAACCCAAGAGGAGCAGCAGCGTGTGATGCAGGTAGCTGGGCCAAGGGTTACATCTGACGTTTCTCATTTCTCTTCACAGACACCTTCATGACATCATAAGTTGGCAACCAAATCCTATTATGCAAATCTTGAAAGGCATTTCTATATTTGCCTGATAAACCAGTTAATCCTAGCAGTTTAATACCAACTTGGACATTCTTAGACGGTTTTCTTATGTCTTGTGTATTGCAAATGACTTTTACATTTAGAGAAAATGAAAACCTTCGAAACAAACCTAGATTTTACTAAGATGACAATGTGGCTGTTTGTGCAAATAGTTTTTAGTGTATAATTTCTCTCTTAAATTATATGAATCTTGTCAGTTTTTAGGAGAAAAAGCAGCAATATAAAAAGATTGTTGACATAGCCGAGCTTACCCAAAATACAGTAAAATTCAGGTTGACAACAATGCTGTGCCCTCTACACGCATTCTGCTGCCCAAAAGTGTATCACGAGCCCATTCAGGAAGATCAGGATGTTGTGAAAACGCTTATCTTTTCTACCAGTGCAGAGGATGAAAAGGCAAGCAACGGTATTTTCTTTAAGAAAACACTCTAAAAAGTTGAAAAGGCAGGCTGATTTTTTAAAAGCGAAAATAACCCATCCCCAAAACACGAAAAGGGACACCTAGACTGAGCAAAAGGTACTTTCACCTGAAAGCCCACATCACAGGGAGGTGACGTTGTTCAGTAGAGACATGCTGCGTGGACATTAATTACCATGATCACAGAAGCACTGAGTTCCCTTGGGACCACCTTGTGTGCTTGCCTTCAGGCTCAACAGCAAGATTTTATTCCTGAAGGCACCAGCACAAGAGCTGTTAACTGTTTGCTTTCCACCTTAAAGACCTACAGAATTTCACTACATACCAAGACCACCTCAGCTTCAGAGTGCAAAAAAGCCACACTTAGCTGTTGCACATTTGCAAGAAGCCAGCAAAATGACAAGTGATTATCCCAATATGCATCAATAATAAGAGAAAATACATACAAGGCTTCACTTTTCTCAGAGGGAACGGATGACTTGCTAACAAGCGATCACACAGTTTAAATATACAACACAACCATGCTGTTTTACAGCAACACCATCTCACAGCTTCTGCACCTGTTAGAAAAAGCACCCTCTCGGCTCATTTTCAGTGCTTAAGGTCAGAAAGACAGTGTTACCATTGGCAGGAAGGTAGGTGAAATGCTGGTACTGGCTTCTCTTTCTCTTCCCGTTGCAGACATAGAAACTGACTTGGACAGGGCTGGTTATTCTCTGGTTGCGGAAAGGTGGTATTTCAACCACCAGGGAATTCTATTGAGAAAACAGCAAAGAGAAAGCAGACAATTAGCATCTTACAAACTAAAAATGCTTTGTATTAAAGCATCGTACACAACCTCCTCTGCCAAGTTTCAACTGCTAAGTAGATTTCCGCAAATAGTCAGCTCTGGCCACCCAGAGAGCCTCCAAGAGTGGCTTCTGTAGGTGACACATGCCGTTTGAGCTGGGGTTGGCCAGCACGTGTGCTCGCTAACAGGGAAGAGTCTGACTTGACTCCGTCCAGGAGCCAGGAGACCTTTGTGGTGCAGCTGAGCCCACATGGCCTAAGAGAGAAGCTGTGAGCATCAATGGCAAGTGCTTGAGAGCTGAAGATACCTGGCAGCCTCTCACACAGGAGAGGTCTTCAGGAGCCCCAAAGCCTACGCCTGCCCTCACACCCAAGGCTCAGTGACCTTAAACTGAAAACAAAGCACTGCATCTGCCTTGCTGCAGGAGGCACCTCGCAGTGACCTGCCCAGGTGCCTGCCCACAAGGTGGGGAGAAGGAGGTGCTTCTTAGGGACATTGTCTCTGGGGGGAGAGGTGGTGTGACCCTGGCCACAATGGCCATGTCAGAATTCCAGATTCGCCAAAGCTAAAGAGGAAAGGCATTCCTCAGCCCAGGGCGGGGGTTGGTTAAGTGCACAGGCACATGGAATGGGCCAGTTTAGGGTGGCTGCTGTTTCCCTCAAGTGTTTTCAAACAAAAAAATCAGCAACTTTCTTTCTACAATAATCATGGCGTCTCAAGGACAGATGTGGAAAGCAAGTCAGGAGAACTTGGTACCATGTGGGAAACCATGGCTGGGAGTTAGGTCACCCAGACCTGACTGTGGCTCAGCAGCTGCAGGAGGCAGGGCCCAAAGTGAACCCCAACTCTGGGGTGCTGGTGTTCCTGGGAGGGTCAAACCTATGTAGGTGGCAACTGATTTCTAGGGGTATTTGGAATCTATAAAGCTTCTGCATTTTTAATCATGTGATTTTGGTTTATCAAGTAAGGAAAATGTGTAAGAAAAATCTATTGTATCACTTCTTTTGTTAAAGTAATTAGCTGTTACAAGTGCTAATTATAATTAGCAAGTGCTGTTACAATTGTAGCAAATCAGTTATGCAAAATTGATTAAATCATGCTAATAATAAATTACATAAGTTAGAAACAGAAGACCAAAGAATAGAAAACTAATGTTCAACCTCTTCCCTGTACAGATGAAGAAACTGAGGCCCCAAGTCTACTACTGAGGGTTGGTGGACACCAGGAGCCAGCTTGAGGGCCCCTTGGGGATCCATCCCCTGGGATCACACTCACTCTGAGCAACGTGTTTTGGTTGTTTCATTCACTTCATTTGGAAGAAATGAGAAGCACACAGGTACAGACTGCCCGAGCACTCCGCTGTCTCGGGATGAGACAGACCAGGAGGTGTGGCTTCGTCAGTGCCATGGGGCAGTCAGCACCTCCAGGCCGTCCACAGCCAGTGTGTCTCTGCTCTAGTGCTGGCATTCTGAGGGGGAAGTGCTGCAGCCTAACTCTGTTTCCTCCTTTGCACAGGTAAGATAAAGACAAAAGATGCTGCCCGGAGAGGTTTCTGAGGACTCAGCCAAACCAAAAGGGACACTGCAGCAGTCCACTGCCTGCATACAGCTGGTGCTCACTGGTGGCAGTTCACAGAGAGGCAAAGAAGTCATCACGGAGCAAGAAGCAGAGAGCAGACAAAGAAAGGAAGTATCTCACTAATGCTCTGTCTCCCTCGCTCAGGTCTTGAAGTGGGCATTGGCTGATGCATTTCAACCCTCTAAATAGACAAATTTCAGCACAAAATCCTTCCTTTGCTAGCGTACTGTGCTTAAACACAGAGCAGGAATGGAGAAAAGATGGAAAGGAAATGAAGTGATGGGAAATCTTGTCAACAGGGGAAAAAAGTAAGAGTTTTAAATGGCACCAGCCCATCCATGTGATTTGCTTTAACATACACCGTGTGTGTGTGCGTGCGTGCATATGTGTGCGTGTGTGTCTGTGTGCGTGTGTCTGTGTGTGCACGTGTGTCTGTGTGCACATCTGTGTGTGGGGGTGTCTGTGTGCGTGTGCACCTGTCTGTGCGTGTGTGTGCACGTGTGTCTGTGTGCACATCTGTGTGTGGGGGTGTCTGTGTGCGTGTGCACCTGTCTGTGCGTGTGTGTGCACGTGTGTCTGTGTGCATGTGCACATCTGTGTCTGTGCACGTGTGCACGTGTGCGCGTGTGTCTGTGTGCGTCCTGCCACATGGTAGCCAGCATTTCCTCAAGGCCTTCTCAAATGAAAGCCAGAAAAGTGGCAGAGGCAGAGCTGTGAGTCAACAAAGGGCTCTGGAGGAGACCCAGCACCACCACCAAGAGTGAGTCAGCCCCAGGAAAGGCTACAGCCCCAGGAAAGGGAGACAGAGTTGCAGCATCAAAGATGCTTTGTTCTGGCAGAGCCACCTGCAAGGAGGGGAATGGGCTGGACCTGCAGCAAACAGGAAACAAGTGCCCTTCGAGAGCCATGCTCTCCCTCCTGCCAAGATAAGAGTCCTCGAGGGGCTCTGCACTGCCTGCCACCAAGTGTCCCTTCTCACGTGACTCCCGGGGCCAGTGTCTCCGGATAGACAGACCAAGAAAAAAGTCCTTAGCTCAGAAGGTGCTTCTGAGTCACACAATCGGGGTGGATGCAGAAGCCTATTCCCCGTGTCCACCTGAAGGGCCAGCCACTCGGACAGTGGTCAGAGGAATGAGTGTACGTGTGGGACAACTTTGGATTTCCTCAAAACACTGTTTTCTAGTCATGATGTATTTTATATTCTTTTAGGACAAGGCAGAATCCACACACAAAATTCAATGGTAGATACTAATTCAACGATATCACCAATCACTTTACACATCAATGGTCTAAGTCATTAATTAAAAGTGCTGGAGTGAAGAAAGCAGAGTCTTGGATCAGAAAACAAGACGTGGCCCGTGTTGTGTCAAAGACGCCCACTTTCCTTTACAGACGCAGACTGGAAGTAAAGGGCTGGAAGAAGATCTACCACGCTGGAGTAGCAGCATTAATTTTGGACAGAAATGGGTTCCATAATTAACTGATCAAAGAACAATAATTTCTCCTAGGTACCTCCAATGAGCAAACTGTACCAAGAAGCCACAAAGGTAAAGAAGGAATGTGGGCAGATGCTGTGTGCCGTGGGTAGGCTGGAAACAAAGACTAGTGACATCAGCCACAGATCACGCCACGTTTGCCATGACTTCTGGCATATGCACGTCCACTGGCTCATTGGAAAATCCAAAAAGCAGATCAAGCAAACCAGTTAGATCTGACCTTGCATCTATGCTAAGCTCAAAATAAGAATCAGCTAAGCAGTTGGGATGTTCCCTGGAGAGGGTGATGTTAAGTCACCACCAAGGATGCTGGTGAAACCCTGTCTGCAGGTGGCACAGCGTGTCTAGGCAGGTGCTGGGTACCCACTTGGGGGGCTCGGAATGCTGTGGCTTCTGAGGGCAACCCCTTGTACAGGGCAACACCTCTGGCAAGGGGAGCAGGACCCCAACAAGAGGCACAACTTGTTCCTGCCATGACCCCACTTTAGCAGTACTCAGGGCCTGGCACATATAGCTCAGGTGGTGGCTGCTTTCTGGTGTCTTAAAGAGAGAAGAAGCTTCAATCCCAGTCCAGCCTGATGTCTTCCTGGCCACTGTTATGGTCTCAATTCTCTTCTGCTATTATTTTGCATCATAATAGCACTTGTTCCAGCAGGTGTTTTATGATTGTTTTATTACTTGTTCTATTTTTTCATGAGTACTTTCATTTAAAGAAACATGAAGCCCAGCCTACTCAGGCCCCCCTCATGCAAGACTGAAGGACACTTACTGGCTTGCACAGGTCTCTGTCAGTTTTCGCCTCCATCTCCCAGACATGGTGACCATCTAGAAGAAAGCGCAGGAAGAGGTCTGTCACTGTGGCGGGAAGCATGTCCCTCAAAACCTCCCAGGTGACTCAGGCACACAGGATGCAGAGAGAGGAGGTTAAGCAGGAGAGCACATCGCAGCCTGGGACGATGATCAAGAGCAGCAGCCTGGGGCCCAGGGATGGCTGACCCTCACAGGTGGGGGGCAAGGAGCATGCAGTGGCCTGGCACAGAGGGCTGGGAACCATGAGCCTCCAGTGGCTGTGCTCAGGGCTCCTTCCAACCTTGGCCTTCAGGAGCAGCCACACAGCCGAGATTGTGCTCAGCATCTCTGCATTCAAGTGCACAAGTGTCTCACCAGCCCAACACAAGTCATGAAGAGGTCTCCACACCTCATCCTTCTCCACGCAGAGCACGCCAAGGAGAAACGAGGTGACCCAGGAGCCCAGTAGGAAGTACACTAGGCTCAGACCCAGCCTGGCTCTGCCACCCGCCACACCCTACCCAACTTCCCGAGTGTTTGGGGAGCAGAAGGTAGAGCCAGAGAGGCCCTAGCCTCTGCTCATGGGAACTACAGGGGAAATAAGAAAAGCCTTTCTTTGACTACTTGCCACATCAGGACACAGCAATGCAAAACACACGGTATTTTTAACCTTAGCCTAGTGGCCGTTTGCATGTTTAAAAAAAAAAATAAAAAGGTCCCTGCAGGCAGTGAGAACGTAGCGCAGTGTGGGCTCATCACGCAGGGGATGGGTGTCTGTCACTCACAAGCTTTGTGACTCTGACCCTCTGACAGCACCATTTGGGGACCATTTGGGGTAGTCACTGTGAACTGATGTGCGACCCCCAGAGGCCTTTTCCTCCTCATCTTTTTATTTTCCAAAATGAAGTCACTGCCAGGATGAACCATTACAGGACCACACATTTATTTTTTGCTTAAATTCCATTTTCAAAGAAAAAATATGTCTGTTACAAACCTGCATTATTGATAAATAGGACAAAATCTCCTTTCCCTCAGTGCCGGGCAGGGTAGAGAGTGGAAATATGAGTCACCCAGCTGTGCCAGGGCCAAACCAGCCTCCAGGATGCCCAAGGCCCTGCACAAACCATTTACCAGACAAACCCATCCGGGGACCCAGTATGGACCAGCACCCAGCCCCTTCTTGGAAAACAGCAGGAAACTAAAAATACCCAGCCACTCCTAAAGCAGCAGTTTCACAAAGCAGGGGGCCCCTGGACTCTGGCAGGTCAGGGACTTTGGCAAAGAAGCACATTTAACCCCTGCCAAATGTGCTGATGCACCACAGAGGACCCATCAGATGGCTCCTGTGTGTGGCTCCTGCCCACCTTGGCTCCTACCATGCAGCTCAGATGCCCCCTCACAGATACCTCCGTTCATCAAAAGACAAAGCTTCCCTTCATATAACAAAGGCCCTGTCTCCATGCTACCCTAAAACCACCTCTGAAGTCCTCTTACCAAAAGGGTCCTCTCTGCCCCAGCATGTGCAGGAGCTGCCTCCTGCACACTGGGCACAACAGCGCTGTGCAATCTCTGCCAGCTGAGAACTATAGCCATGGTAACATGTCACTGAGAAGCTGTCCTGAGAAGGTGCAGGCCTTTGCTGCAGGAGAAGCAGAGACAGCACATGTGCTAGGAGAGGGAGAAGGAAACGGAGGTGCTCCACAGTGGGGACATCTCATTTCACAAAGCCCCAGGAGGAGACATTGTGGCCCTGTCACCTCCCAGGAGACACAGGAACTCCTCTTCACTCAACCTTTCAAAGCATAGCTGCTTCTCGCAGTGGTGTTTTGTAGGTTCAAGCCACAAGCTAGAAATTAACTGCAACACAGGTGGAGGTGGCTATGCAGGAGGAATAAACTCCTTTTTTCTCCTGAGCCATGTGGCCTGTGGGGGCTGCTCCCTGCTAGAGTGCCCCCGAGGGAACCGATGTGAGCTGTCTCACTGCCCAGCACCTACCTGGCCCACCACCCACCACCAAGAGAAGGACACCATGCCTCCCATGCCATCCAAGTTGCACCAGAGTAATTCACACATAACACGTGATTTCCCATTAAAATGGGCTTCTTGGAATCACCAAAATGTATGTGCTACGTTCAAATGTATGTACCCGGGTTTCCTTCTGGCCTTCCTGTCCCCATGTTCAGCTGTCACAGAGGTGAAGAGGGTGGGTGCTGGCTCTTTAGGGCCTGATTGTGGTCTTTTAAAGGCAAATATATATTTATGATTGGAAACATACACAAAGCAGTTGTTCCAAGCATAGACAAAGGGCTGAGGCCAGGCAGAGATGCTCGTCAGCAGGCACACTTTCAGGAGCTGTTAGACTAGTTCCTTTGCTGAGAGGGTGGCCCCTGCTCTCCAAGGACAACTGCAGCCTTCAGATCCGCCGATGGCATCCTCTGCAAAGTGCCCACGCTAGGGGAGGCCAGCTGCAGGGCTGTTCAAACTCCAGCTTCTGCCAGGAGGGAGGTGGTCACTCTGAAAGGGCCTTTGTTCTGTCTTATCAGGAGCTCCCTGCACTCAGTAGGAAACTGTGCTGGAGTCCAGAAGTAAAAATATTCCAAATCATTAGGGAATTCCCTGCAGCGTGAGTCATCGGAAAGGCTTCCCCACCACACCCGCCAAAGGTTTCCACACAGCCGGGCCTGTGGGGCTGGGGCAGCTCCACAGGCTGCTGGATGCTGCGGGTACGGCCCACAGGCCAGTCACACCAGGCCTGTGGGCTGAGCCACTGTTTCCACAGGGGAAGAAGCTGGGAGTTTCCTCAGGACCCGAAGGCTTTCCTGAGACAGCCTCCTAGAACCCGCCCAGGGTGGGCAGGAGGCCTCGTCCTGGAGCTGCCTCTGCTGCTCTGGCCTCAGGGCCCAGGGAACAGTACAAACAACCCCACTTTGCAAGGGGCCGGGACAGAACAATGAGGTGCAGAGATCCAGAAGAACCCACGCAAGGACAGGCATGTCCACCTCGGCCCTCCACAGACTGACTGACAGTGAGACCTGACAGCAGTCAGCCTGAAAACGCCCATCCTTCCCGGTCTGTGTGTCTTTCTGGGAGCGTAGCTCCACCCTCCTCAGGAAGACTCCAGAGTGAAAAGGAGACTCCCCAGATGCTTTGGAAATCAGCTTAGTGGCTGAACTGGAGTCACCGCGTTAGCACAGCAATCTCGCCCCAGGTACACGCCCAGTAGGATGGAATACACATCTGCGTGGAAACTCAATTCACAGCAGCTGCAGTCATGATAACCACCAAACAGTGGACACAGCTCACGTGTCCACCAACTGACTCACACAGACAAACTGTGGTCCAGCCACATAGTGGAGTATTATTTATTACTGAGTCCCAGAGAGGTTCAAGGTGCTGGCACCTGCTGCCACACGGATGAGCCTTGAAAGCATTGTGACAGAAGTCACACACAAAAGGACAAACTCAGTCTGAGTCCACTGGTGTGAAAGAACCTGAACAGCCAAATTCACAGACAAGGAAAGGGGGTTAGTGGGTGCCCGGGCTGGAGGACAGGAAGAAAGGGGACTGGCGGATGGTTTCTGTCACTCTGCTCTCTGTTGCTTTAACAGAATACACGAGGCTGGGGTCGTTAGAGCATCTGTCTGTCTTTGAGAGGGCCCCATGTTGATGGCACCACAGGGCAGAAAATGTGGAGGGCACGTGGCCACCTAAGAAGCTAGCTAGCGGGCGCAATCTCACTCCTGAGGATGCCTCATCCACTAGCGACCTGCAGGTCTCCAGAACCACCCTCATCTCTGCCGGGGCCATGTCTCACTGACCCATTCCTGTGCACAAGACTTTACCACCTCCCCGCCCACATGGCCACTCTGGGGATCATGCCTCCCTCCAGCACATGAACCTCAGGGGACACTACAAGTGCTGCTGATGGGTAAGGGCATTCTTTCAGAGAGATAGAAATGTCCTGGACATATAATTGTGCCAAAACCACAGGACTGCACACTCAAGAGTGAACTGAATGGTGTGTGGACTAGAGGTCACTAAAACTGACATAAGAAAGACATTATCCTACATACTCACGAATGATATTGTGCTAAACACCTGGGGAAGTCCTAAAACACTTGGAGGGGACAAGGTGGCGGCCTAGCTCCTCATCTGTGGGATCCTGGTGTGCTTCTGTGCTGAAAGAGCATGGGGCATGTGTTTCTGTGCAATTCCCAACAGTGTCACAGCCGATCCCTCAGCAGTGAGGTCCAGGACAGAAAACTCTGCTACCAGGGAGGCCCCTGGGCCAAGCCCACTGTCTGGACACCCCAGGGGCAGGGAGGCAGATCCGAAGGGGTGGCTCTACCATCACACCCAGAGACAGCCAGAGGCAAGCCTCCACTATGCCCTAGTGTGCCCTCAACACCCGCTGGTCCTGCTTGCAGGAGTCCCTAGATCAACCCCATTGTCACCTGCCACTCTTTAGCCATGGTCATCATGTCCTGGGGAGGAGGGCTTCTGATGGCAGGAGCGGTCAAGCTCAAGTGAGCAACTCTGCAGACCAGCGCTAGTCCGCTGCCCCTGGCCCACTCTCCACTGCTCTCTGCTTGTGCTCTGACTTCGAGGTTGGCCAGGAACCCAGAGGGAAAAGTCCAGTGCCTCCAGAAGGTCTGGGTTCACAAGTGGAATGCCCAGGGTCTTGGCCATCATAGGAATAATGGGGAGCTCTGTCTGCAGTACCCTGGCACCTCCCATCACAGACCAGCCAGCCTGGATGGATTCTGTCATCGCGGACCTTCTCTGAGATCATTTCCTCCCAGGCCTCTCTGAAACATCATCTACAAGGAGGACCACGGCAACTCTGGCAAGAAAAGCCTTCTTAAGGTAAGACTGTCCTCCCATGGGGTTCATCCCTCATGGGAGCCAGCTAGTGGAGGGCACAGGTGTCAGACCTAATTATGAGAGTACAGAGTGCCTCGAGGGCAGCCATACAAACCCCACCCTGCAAGAGCAGCATAGCAGTATTTTTGTGTCGGTGACGGAGAATGGGACAT